TATTTGAATATTACTGAACTCTTTTAATATTCATTTTATAAAAGTATATACATTTTAGCTTTTATTTTTTGAAGGTATATAGGATTTTTTAATTTGTTCTAATTACTTGCATGTGACAATAGATTGTATTTTGACACATTTTGATACATAAATATAGTGCAACTGTTGAGAGCCACAGCCAAGTCGGGATGACACATGGCATTTTGCCAGAGGGAATGGTTGAAAGGCGAGCCATTGAGATGATGATGGTTAGTTAAGCTGTGTATTCAGTTGTATATTAGACCTTTGCTGTCCGGCAATAGGGCGGCTCTTGCTGCCTCCACCCTGCTACTTTGGAGTTCCCATTGAGTTCTCCTGGGGTTCCAAGAGAGTTGGGGCGGAGCCCCTTGGAGAGCTGGGAGAGTTCCGGGGGAGTGCGTGTGCGTGGAGTGCTGGTGGAGTTCGGGCAATAAAGCTTCCTGTTTTGAACATACAAGTGCTTTGTGGAGGCTCGGTGATTTGTGCCCAGCCAGACTTCGGCATGCAACTTCTCATTCTTCTGGTTGTACATGATGTAGAATCACACTGGTTGTGTAATTATATGTGTACATAGGGTAATGATGTCTGATTCATTCTACTCTTATTCCTATCCCCATACTCCCTCCCCTCCTTTTACTTCCCTCTGCATAGTCCATACTACCTCTATTTTTCCCTGTCCTCCACCTACTTATTGTGAATTAGCATCTGCATATCAGAGAAAACATCCAGCCTTTGTTCTTTGGGACTGGCTTATTTCACTTAGTGTGATATTATCCAGCTCCATCCATTTACCTGCAAATGCCATAATTTCATTCTTCCTTAAGCTGAGTAATATTCCATTGTGTGTATATGGCACATTTTCTTTATTCATTCATCCGTTGAAGGGCACCTAGCTTGGTTCCATAGTTTGGCTATTGTGATTGAACTGCTATAAACATTGATGTGGCTGCATCACTATAGTATGCTGATTTTAAGTCCTTTGGACATAAACCAAGGAGTGGGATAGCTGGGTCAAATGGTGGGCTTTTATTTTTGAAAGTTGCAAAAAAATTGTAGTAACTATGAAACATAAATATAATCATAAGACAAATTGGTTAAGTCAAAAATGAAAAACTTTATTAGATCATTTGTATTTATGTCTGTGATGACATTATCAATCATCATATTATCTCTATCAAAGCAATTTTGTGTTTCATGGACAATTATAAAAATCACTATGTAGATAATAGCATACTAGATTTGGTTTCTACTTTCTAAAAGTTAAGAATGTAAGTGGTAAAGCAAGAACATTGTTAAATATTAGGAAAACATCTTAGTTGTGATATTTTAACCAGAATCTTGACATTATTAAAATTAGGCCTTTAGCTGCATGTGGTGGTGCATGCTTCTAATCCCATGGATTACTAAGAGGCTAAGGCAGGAGGATCACAAGTTTGAAGCTAGCCTCAGAAACTAAGCAAGGCCCTAAGGAAGCTAGTGAGACCCTGTCTCAAAATTAAAAAAAAAAAATGAAAAGGGCTGAGGATGTGGCTCAGTGATAAAGCAACCCTGGGTTCAATTCCTGATATAGATAGATAGATAGATAGATAGATAGATAGATAGATAGATAAAATTAGCCTTTATTAAAATAAGAAGGAAATCATTGTTGGCTGGTGGCTGCCACATACTTTTCTACTGAGCATGCTCTGTAAAAACAGCCCCCCCTGTGGTCCAGGAGGACTCTTCACACACAAAGCTGTGAGTCCCAACAAGGACTGTGCCTTTCCAGAGAAAGACACTTCTTTCTTAGCTTGCAGTATCTGCCCCTCAAGCTGGGTGACCACAAAGCATTCCACAGAGGCCGACTCTTTCAGCTGCACTATATGGGACAGTAATAGTCTTCTGCTGTGGATGGTTTCATGGCTGAATTGGATTTTTTAAAAGGCCATTATAAATGGTAAAAATTTATTGTGTGGATTTACAGAAGGGAAAGATTTGTATTTATGGGAGGAGGGGCAACATTTAGCCATGGGTAAAGGCACAAAGTCTGAGATGGATATGACATATGTGGCAGTTAATGAAGAGACTTCATTTATTGGAACAAAATGTTCATGTCTTTGATGAGAAGGGGATTAGATGGGAAAGAAGCAGAGGTCAGATTGTGGAGGCCTGGATGCTGATGAAGGAATTTGGATTTTATCCTTTAAATGTGAAATCACATAGGCATTTGTCCAAGTTCATCACATGGTCAGTGATATCTTATTTTAGGAAGATTAACCCAAGGTTTTATAGCACAGAGTAAAAGGAATAAGTAAAGATTAAAGACAAAGAGACAAGGGTAGAAGCTGCTATGTAGAGTACATGACTTAGTATATAGCTCAGGATCCCAATAATGAAAATAAAAATGGTGAGCTGATGTGACAGAGTTTTGTTACAATAAATGTTATTAATTTTGTAAGATTTCCAAAAGGAATACATAGTTACTCTATAAAACATTGAGGATATGTATATATATAAAGAAGAAAATGAAGATCACCTCTTCTCGTTTTTTTTTTTTTTTTTTTTAGAGCATTACAATTACACATAGCATTTGGGTTCATTTTGACAAAAATCATGCATGCTCCTGAGGCTGGGGCAGGAGGATCGTAAATTCAAAGCCAACTTCAGCAACAGTGAGGCACTAAAGCAACTCAATGCGACCCTGTCTCTAAGTAAAATAAAACATTGGGCTGGGGATGAGGCTCAGTAGTCCAGAGCTCCTGAGTTCAATCCCTGGTACCCCCACCACCAAAAAAACATCATACATGCAAGGAATTTGATTTCAATCGCTATTCGTCATCACCTTTTCCTCCCCTACTTCCTTCCCCTATTAACTTGCTTTTTTCCTTAAAGGTGAAAATTCCCTTTGTTATCTTTATATATGATTATGAGATGATTTTGTTCAATTCATTCCATATTTCTTCCCCTTGTCCTTCCTTCCTCCCTTACTCTTATTCATCTTCTACTCTACTGATCTTCCCTATCTTTTTTGTTTTGTTTCTTTTTGGTTATACATGGTAGAATTCATGTTGATATAAGTATACAAGCATGGAATATACCTTATTCTAATTAGGACCCCAGTCAAATGTTTCCTCTGACATGTGGAAGCTAACCCACAAGAAGGGGATAGAAGTTCAGTGGATTATCCATTCTTGTCTGAACCATAGATTAGCTATCTTGACTATTTAAGGCACTTCTGAATTTTTTGTTTTGTTTTGTCTCAACTTATGTAACCCAGAGTCATGGCATATTAAAGGTGTACTTATGTCATTTATTTGGTTAATAAGAATTCCTGGTTGACCATATTTTAATGACTATGCACTTTGATTGATTCTTCCACTATTATGTGTGTGTACATTTTCTCCCACTTTTTAGTTATTCTAAGTGCTGCTATAAATGAGCATCAATTAACCTATGTGTTTAATTCTATACTCTTTTCATGTATTTATTTGAAAAAGTGGTTTTGTTGTTACTGAAATAAACACATTTGCTCATGTAGTTTAACACTGATCTGCCAATCCTGACCCTTAGTCCACACTAAATTTTGGGAAGAGAGTGACTCCTTTTGTGTTTTGAAAAGTCCATATTAAGAGTATTGATGGGCTGGTGCTATAGCTCAGTGGCAGAGTGCTTGCCTAGCATATGGAAGGCACTGGGTTCGATCCTCAGCACCACATTAAGAAATAAAAAATAAACCAATAAAATAGAGGCATTCTGTCCATTTACAACTACAAAATAAATAAATAAATAGATAGATAAATAAATAAATAGAAGCATTGACATTCCCTCCATTTTATTAAAATTACCTTCTTATTTTTTTGCTTGTTTATTTTTTTGCTTATTTTTTATGATGTATTTTTATTCATTCCCCTATACGTGGGCATGTAGGTTGTTTCCAGTGTTTCTCTGTTTAAAACATTACTGTGATGAATATCATTGTATGTATTCCCATGTGCATAAATGAAAGGATGTGGACCTCAAAGTTAAATTCAGGGACCTAAGACATATAAGTCTCAGTATCCAATGCACATAAGTTATATCAGTTAAAATGTTTGTGCCCCCTTTCATTCATCCTTGTAGGCAAAGTACAGGAATTCCAGTTTACTCACATTCTTAGTAATCCATTTTTTTAAAAAATTTTCTAGTCTTATGTATATGAAATAGAATTTTTTTTGGAATGTGAAATATTATCTCATGTTTTACATGATCTAATGCATTTTAGCATATTTTCTTGTTTATTAACTATTCAAGCTTCTTGTCTGGAATTTGTCTTTTTTTCTCTGTGGAGTTGTTTTCTGTTTGTCACTTTTCTTTCCATACATTATATATATAACTTTTGGGACAATCATTTAATTTGACAAGGCATTCTACCAGAGTCTCTCTTATCTTGTAATCCTGGTTTAAGTTTTTTATATTAAAATACATTATTGATAAGTGTGTCAAGTTAATCATCTATGGTTTGGCATCTTGATTAATGAGTTCTTCTCCAATGTCAAAGGATTGTCACCTGTATTTTGTTCTAGTTCTTATGAGTTACTTTACATTAAAATTTTAATTCATCTGACACTAATTTGCATAACTGTGGGGTGATTTTTCTGAGCTGTGGAAAAAGAAAAATGGAAAACAAAATAAAAATTTGATAAACTGTCGAATAGTCTCCATTTTAAGTCTATAACTGAACCATGGTGATATTTTCAATGTTTTTGTGTGAGTGAAAGATGCCCACACCCACCATGGTCTGTGATAATGGAAACTTACATCTTTCTAACTGACTTCAAGAGAACTTGTTAGAGTTCATCTGTGTGAAGTACTTGAGTTAGAAGCAAAATAGTTTCTTCTATCTTGGGGGTTGAATGTAGTTTCACTTCCCATGCATTTTCAGCCTTAGTTTCTGTCTCTGTAAGAAGAGAGGGAATACATTGTACATTTTAAAACAGTTAACAGAAGATCCCTTTTATTTTCAGCAACTCACAGAAGCTGTGAGTCCTTCAGTGTTACCCCCTTCAGCTTTGCCACTGGACCTGCTTAATAATGCTGTAACCGCCTTTAGTACTTTGGAGGATCTTATTCGCTATCTTGAACCAGATAGATGGCAGCTGGACTTAGAAGATCTATACAGGCCAACTTGGCAACTTCTTGGCAAAGCTTTTGTTTTTGGAAGAAAATCCAGAGGTAAGCTTGCTCTTTGGATTAGAACTCATTTAATTTTCTTAGCAGAGAAATGTTTCAGGTCTCTTTGCCACAGCTTCTAAAGGTAAGAGTTTAAGACTCTTCAGTGTTGTATTTAGGCAATCCATTTGCTTATCATTAGAATGTAAGTATATGTTAAATGAGAACATAGACAAAAAGAGTCAATTACAATTCAGTGGATTTGGAAAATTAGGAAAGATATCTGTAAAAATTCCTATCAGTTCTTATCTTCTAAAAAATCATTTTGGTGAAGTGTTCCATTGCACTTGATAAGAATCATTGCTTACTCCAATCTACTTTTGGAGTATATTGATTTTGAAATTTAAAAGAAAAGTTCAGAGCTGCAAAATTCGGTTTGGTGCTAGAAAAGGGGGGCACTTTTATAAAAATCATTATTATCATGTCAACCATGGGTCAGGATTTTATCTATTTATATTTCTTAAGTCTTGAAACATCTATATAATATGAAAAATAACAATGGCCCAACAAAAAAAGTGATTAGAAGTTTCTAAGGTAAGATTCTCATCAATAAAACAAATGACCTGAAGAAAACACCCCAAGGTAATTTCTCTCTGGATACAGTTGCTTTTTGAAATGATGAGTTTTGGCCAAAAGGGCCTATTTCCTTTTTAGAATGAAAGTGTTGTTAATTAAATCTAATTCCACATGATTTTGAAATGGGAAATATGTTAAGTGAGTTTTCTACAAGGTTAGCTAATTTTTCTAATAACTTAGGATTAGGAAGTATCCGTATCAGACACAAATGAAAATGGAACAGGAATAACTGGATAATTACGATACACTCCAAACAATCTGTTTCATTCCGTCAGAAACATTGAAATCTGCCCAGCGTCATTTTAGAGAATGGAATGACAGTCTGGAGAATTTATGTTTCAATGTTTAGTTAATTTGAGCCATTCACAGAGGCAGATTGCACCAGACTTGTTCTAAATCTTGTCAGAAAGAAACCTGATTCCTGCCCTTCCCTGTGCTGATTTGCAGTCCTTTTGGCTGAAGCACTAAATCTCAGCAGGTCATGTTCCAACTTGCCCAACCCTGGTATTTTGCTATGCCAACAGAGGTGGTTTCCTTTTGGCAATATTTGAAATCCGTGTTCAAGTGCATGGGCAGCGAGATCCTGTCCAGATGTGAACACTGTTACGTATTTATAAGATTTGATCCTGATAAATAACTTGATGAATAGCTTACCAACAGCGCTTCCCTTCCCTCCCACTTACACACAGGAAGATGAAGATCAAGCAAGAGAGGCTGAAACACCCATGAATAGAGCCCTTGTTAGCAAAAGTGAAGTAGATTATCATGTGGATCTGAAAGAAGCAAGAGAGGAAAATAGGTTCTAAGCTCAGATCTAGTTTTTTTCACAGCTGATTTCTGGATTCAAGCCTAAAATCCTCCCTCCTAGCCATGGCTTTCTGCCGAAATCTCTGCCTACTGCCTAAAGATTTGGCCAGAGGCTAGCATATATTTAAAAGCATCCAACCCTGAATCAGATCTTTCAGATATTCATTTAACACTTTCAAAATTGAAGTTCCTTGCAGTTTGCCAAAACTATTAACTTTTTAATCATACAGTAAGTGTGAAAAAAGTGGTGTATATTTTGGGGACTTTACATAAACCAAAATGCAGGTGTGGGATAACATCTATGTAGACAAAATCAACTCCCCTCCTGAGAGTCTTTCTACAAAGGAGCCAGGAGTAAAACTTTTAAAAGCTTCTAATTAGGCATCGAAATAGATTTTCTCCAGAATAAACATATCACAGTGTTACCACATTCATCTTAGAAAGACCACCCTCAGGTTGCATTCTGGTAATACAATACCTTTGGATTGAATATCTTAAAAAAGAGTGAACAACTACCAAAGAAATATGTGACCATGTTTTTTTTCAGTATTACACTTTTTAGTAAAATTTACAATACTGATGAAATTTTTATTAGGAATAATGATTTTGACCAATGATGTGCTCAAAATGTTTATTGTTTAGAAGGCAGACCAATGCTTAGGTGGCAATTATGAAAAGGCAAAATAATCTAAAGGCTGAGTTTCACTTAAAAATATTTTGCAGAAGAAAACTTCCTTAGTATTATAGTTAAACTACTGCAAAGTATACCTTGAGGCACAATCTTCCTTCCTTCCTTCCTTCCTTGCTTCCTTCCTTCCTTCCTTCCTTTCTTTTTGCCTAGAAATTCTGCAGAATGTTTGGAGAATTTATGATGTAAGATTATGGTCTCATGACTAATTTTAATGAAGTTTCTAAGTTCGAAGTCTTAGGTATAGGAAGCATAAATTTCAAAGATTGTGTACAAATTTAAATTCCTTAATTGTATTTTGGACCATTGTGGTCTGCATTGTTTTTCTGCTTCTTTTCTTTCCCTTTCTTCCTCTGATTCAAAGTTTCATTAATCCATTGCCACTGCAGGGAAAAAAAAAAGTTTCTAAGTCAAGCTTAACTAGTACTTAAAAAGAGGCTTTTGACTTTTGTGTCAAACATGATAAATGAGTGGAAGCTAAGTTGAAAGTGTGTTTAAATTTTCACATTGTAGCAGGTATCATAACTTAGTTCACTTGGGAAATCTATCTAACCTTTTATTGTGGTTAAGTAAACATTTTAAAGAGAACATATACAGTCTCGTTTTCTAGTTCATGAAATAGTGTGTTTAAAACTATTTGGAGTAGGCGACTATCCTTGAAAGCTAAGAGCTTCATTCATTCTAAAGAAGTATAAATCTTGAAGCTTTGAAAATTGGGGCAAACAGCTTTGGTGTTTCTGCATGGTTTCTCTATATTACCTTCCAGAGAAAAAGTCCAAATAAAATGATAGCGTTAACAACACCAGAGCAAAGGTATACGTATACTATTGGTTCAGCAAAATGAAATTTAGCAAAATATGTGATATCATTTCACCTAATGATATCCTTAATTGTATAACACATAAATTGGTCTTTTCAGGGTACTGAAAAGAATGAACTCATTTGCTTTTAATATTTAAAAGCTTTTCATTCATTCATAAAATTATTTCTAGATGAAAAACAAATGTTTAAATACTCAAATAAAGCAGTGATTTTGTATTGAATAGGAAAACTAATTATTTAGCTGAATAAATTGTCAAAATGGACCATTGAATTAGCCATGTTTGGGGGCCTTCCTATACTTGACCTGGGTTTTAGTCAATTATATAGTTAACATGTTTGTAATTTATTACTACACATGCATAATTTTACACTTCTCAGAAATACTAAAATCACCTCTTTTTGACAATTCCAAAAAACTTGATCACATATATAACAAAAAAATAAGGACTCATCATTTAAAAAATTATTAGCACTTAATTTTGAAAATTGGATCTACATATTGATTATTGCTATTTGAAGCCATCTTCAGCCAAATAAGTTTTCTTTTGACTCACGCTTGTTTCCTATAATAGTGAAATTATTTAACAAGATCAATTGTATTTTAGGTAATATTTCTTAGTTTAATTTTTCTTTTAAGTACTTTATTGGGTGGGCTGGAAGAATATATGTGATCCTCAAACTCTTCAATATGGTTGAAATTGTTTGAACAGATCTAGGGACAAAAATAGAGCTTAGAAGAAATTAAAATTATGTTACAAGTATTTATCCCAGTAACTACTGTTCATATATTATCTATGAATTCTTGTAAACATGACAAGTTATTTTGATAGGATTTTCCTGAGTCAGTATCATTTTGTAGTTAAAAACAATGGTTCTTTGAGGTTTTACTACAGCTGTCCAATGAAAGGATATTTTGTTTGGGCTTCACAAGTAGGTAATTCTTTTGAAAAATAAAGGACAACATAGTTAACCAACTTGCTAAAAGAGTGGAGACAATGCTTACAAATGAAATACTTCTTCCATCCTTAAGCAAGGGAACAATAGAAATCTAAGATTCTACTCAATTTAAATTACAAAGACTACAAATCCCTAATATTCCTAAAATTGCTTCCCAAAAGCTTCTGCTCTTATAAATTAAATCCTTTTTTTTTTTTAACTCATGGTCCATTTGGCTGTCTTCAATAATATATTTTCTTCATTCCTTTTTTTTTTATATTTTATGATTCTTATTGCCAAAAAGATTATAGAAAGTTCTGTTTACCAGCTTCTAATAAGTTGTTCTTCATAAAATGTCTGAGCCTATCATCCTTTAAAAATCATATTTGTTTTTTAATCAAAGCATTCATCATTTTACACTGTATTCTTCCATCCAGCGCTCTCCTTGTGTACTTTTGTACTGAGGTTAAAAGGTGTAGACCTTTTTCTCTCTGTAAAATTTCCTATTTATAGCTCTCAACTGTTCTGTCCGCTCTGTTCTTAATACTACACAATGGCGGCTCTTTATTGGTCACTAAGTCATAATGAAGCTTTGTTTACTATGAAATAGAAAGTCTAATTTGTGAGCTGAGTAGCCCTACAACCTAGTTAAAATAAGAAGGGATATTATTAATTATTGTTCATGGAATAACTAGATTATTTTATGAAATGTGCTTAATGAAATAGATTCAAGCTCAAAGCATGAACCTCTCTCTCTTTTATTTTTTTTTCTTTGCTTTCTTCTATGCCATGCAGTGGTGGATCTGAACCTTCTAAAAGAGGAGGTAAGATTATACAGCTGCACACCTCGTAACTTCTCGGTGTCCATAAGGGAAGAACTAAAGAGAACCGATACCATTTTCTGGCCAGGTTGTCTCCTGGTTAAACGCTGTGGTGGAAACTGTGCCTGTTGTCTCCACAACTGCAACGAATGTCACTGCGTCCCGAGCAAAGTCACTAAAAAATATCATGAGGTAGGTGTGTCGTTTTCTTTTCGATTTCCTTTGAGCATTTTTTCTTAGAACCAAGCCGTGAAATTGAAAAGGATTCATGTTTGGAAAGGAGATGTGGCGTTCATAGAAAATTTTTAAAAACAGGGTTTTACAAAGAGTTTGTTTCTACGTTTTAAAATTAGGACCTTTAATTTAAAAACCCAGCATCAAGGATTTAGAAAGCTTATTCTCTGGTAGTAGTACATCATGGGTGGTCAGTGAAGTTTTTACTTCTCATACAAAAAAGAAAAAAAAAAAAGAAAAGTTTTTCTGAAGAAAAAATGTAAGTGAAGCTTTTCAACTTTTAAACTTTTCAAAATATGAAGGGAAAATATTTTAAAGTCAATCTTAGAGATAAATCATTGTCTATTTTGAAGAAAGGAGATCTTTGATATTTATTTTTATATTTGGCCAAAATGGGCACATAAGTCCCAAGGGACTGTTCACAGTTATACCAATCTTTGTGTTATTCATGTTGCTACAAATAACTTGTTCAGACTTTTATGAATGTATTTACCCCTTTGCCTCTTTTTTTCCTCTGGAATTAGGAAAATAAAGTTGAAATGGTAGTTATTATTACTTTAGAGTGTTAGGAACTTGCACATCCAAAATTTTCATTAGTGCTGGAATATCCTCAATTCTATCCCACCTTCTCCAGCAGTACTATATAGCATACATAGAAAAAGTCAGGTTTTGATGAGTCAACGTTAATTTCTACAAAATATTCACATTGTGACAAGTTAAAATCTGCCCTCTGACTTCATTTTAATATGACTTCATCTCATTATTTTGACATTTTGCTTCAGAAAAGGTACCTACTTAGAAAGACATCAGCAAAATGCTCTCTGTTGAGTAATCTGAACATGTAGAGTTTCATAAACTGCACTTCGGGTGACATGGTCTTCCTGCCCTTCACCAATATTATGTTGGTAGCCTGGCAAGAAAAGGAAGAAAAGCACATCATTCTAGAAGACAAGGGACTCTGTGTCCATTCAAGCTCTGCCATTGACTGCCATCTGCATACACTACCTCTGTAACAAACATGAAATATCATGATCTTTCAGGTTTTTATTCCATGACACTTACTGGATGGCAATCTTTTATCAGGTAACACCCCAAACTGTCATTCAGTGATTAAAAATAGAACTATTTGCCGCCATTACTCATGTTCTACTTTTGATTTGCATACCACTTTCTTGTAAAGATCGTGTGCTGGGAAAGGAGTTGCCATTCTAGAGTCAAGAAGTAGATGGTCAGGGACTGAGGATGTAGTTTAGCAGTAGAACACTTGCTTGGCATATGCAAAGCCCTGGGTTCAATCCCTAGCACCAAACATACAAGCAAAAAGCAGATGTTCATGGGCACAGAGGCTCCTGGGGCTCCAAACAGGTAGGATGTGCCTACAGTCCAGCCTTATGCCACTCCATGAACGGGAATCTAGTCAAGAAAAGAAAAAATTAATATTGTAGTTCTTAATAGCATTAAAATTAAAATGCCTCAGAGGCTGGGCAGATGTTAGAGTTGCCTGGCATAAGATAAAAGGATGTGATAAGAATATGTATTAAACTGGAAGGATCTTTTCCCACCTAAAGTCACTCAATTTTGAAGTTGCCGAAACGGATACTTAATAAACAAGTGTATTTGGGGACCTAATTTAGCCAGCCAGTTTTGCATTTATAACCACTATTTTAAGAACTCTAAAAATCCACACTTGACTTAAACAATTTCTTAAAACAAGTCTATGGGGTGCTGAATCTCATTCTGTGGTTTGCTAAAGCAGTCTCCTAGGTCAAGCATGCCCCCTCCATCCTATAGCTATCCATTTATTTTACAAATAACATTAGTGTTATTATCCAGAAAGTTGCCACAGAGTGTGTAATATCTATTTTCAAGCCTCAGAAAATGAAGACATTACTGTTTGGGGCAAGGCTATGGGCAGTGCTTGTGGACCAAGTGGTGTTCTTACAGAATGACATAAATCCACATTTTCTGGTCTTCATTGGGTTGATTATAGATACACACCTATACACACGTGCAACTATGAACATTTTTCTAATTATATTATAATTACATGAGCACCCATTAGTTTTGCACAAACATCTCTAATGATTAAGTATGAAGAAATATAATATAAAAATTTCCTACTTGATGTTTATCACAAATATTTCTGATAACAATAATGTCTCACAAATATCTCTAATAACATTTACCCTATGGAGAAAGGACTATTTGTTTAACATGATTCAGAATTTCTGAGGCCTTTGTTTTTCTCATTCCCATATTCTTGAGATCACTTCTGATCTAGCACTACTATTAATCAAATGCATTTTTAAAACAATTTAAAATTGTTCAAAGTTATTAGATAATTGAATATTATGGACCTGGACATGGAGACTTAATTCATTTAAAGACAAGTCTACCTTCAGCCTTATTTATTATTATTATTATTATTATTATTATTATTATTATTATTATTATTATCATTATTTACGCACCAGAAATTGAACGAAAATGCGCTTAACCACTGAGCCACATCTCCAGCCCTTTTAATCCTTTTCTTGAGACAGGGTGTCCATAAGTTATTTAGGACATTACTAAGTTGCTGAAGCTGGCTTTGAACTTGAGAACCTTCTGCCTCAGTCTCTCAAGCTGCTGGGATTATGGTCTTGCACCACTATACCCACCCAACCTTTAATATTTTTAATGATGTTGCCAATTGGGTTTTATGATTATTCTACTTCATTGAAAAATGAAAAATCAAAGACAGGTTAGAGGTTCTATTTGTCCTCTCATGCATCTATTTATATTATAGCAGCTTCTGCAAATATTAGGGTTAAATCATAGTCATCGTATTACTACAGATAAAGCAAGTATTCCTTGTGGTTTCCTGTAGCATTTTGCTGGGTTTTTGTTCAACCACTGTACCAAAAATAAGTTCAGATAATTAAAGGAATCATACAGTATGATATCATGTTACTGTGTTGCTGATAGCATAATAGTATTAATGATAATGTTCTTAGTACGATTCTTACCTCTTCTCTATCAATCATTGGATCTCTACAGTCTGTCTCTCCAGTAGGAATTTTCAGAAAAGCGAGTTGGGAACTTTCTATGTGTATGAACTTACATGTCACATCTTCCTTGAAACACTTTTAAGAGTTCTGCCCATCCTAGCAGCACCAATTAGTTCATCCTTAGAGCATGCATGGGACTTCAAAGATATCTCTATTAGAGAACTATTACTGTTTTAAAATCATTGTTTATTTTTCTTTGTTTCTACCAAATTGAGGGCTAAGAGAAACAAAGATCATGTTACAGTACAGTGCTTGCAAGTACTAACTCCCACAACAGACATCCCATATTTGAAGCTAACATTTGTTCGCTGTGTCCTTTTGAGCCAGTAACTCAATCCCTCATGCCTCAGTTTCCTGATTGGTAAAATGATTTTCCAACCCTCGTAACTCATGGTGAGAAATCTGTGAGTAGATTTTTACAGAATACTTAGAACAAGATTTGATGCATTTTACACCTTTCATACATATTAGCTTTTTTTTCTCGTTCTTTTTTTTTTAATTTTTCCTCTTCAATTACAGTAAATGATGAATAAAAATCTAATGAATTCAGAGAGAGGTAAGGTATTCTTCGCCCCCCCCCCAAAAAAAATTTACAAAACACTCTCACAATAGTAATATATTTGTTCCTTTTTCTCTAATCTTATTTTGTTTATATCTTCTTATGTTTAATTTCTTTTTTCCATAATCTACAGGAGTCTTGCTTTTCTAACCTTAGATGTGTCTGTATTAGGAAAAGTTTACCGTCCTGTGACCTTATTCTAGTACTGAATCCTGCTTCATCAATGCTCTGGTTTGGAGAGTGATCAGTCCATCTTGTTTGACTGTACTTAGCACCCACTCCTTGGTGGTTCTTTGTGTCTGGTTTGTTTTCTTCCATAGTCTCTGGTTTGAGACATAACCTTGATATTCTTTTTCATGGACTGGTAGTTTTAGTGTTCACTTCTTCCTCAATTCTTCTTTCTGTCTTTTCTTTTCCTTTGGTGCTGGGGATTGGGCCCAGGGCCTTACACATGCTAGGCAAGCGCTTTATCGCTGAGCTCCATGCCCAGCCTTCCCTCATAGTTCCCTGAGATAGACTTCTGACATTTCCCTACCCCAATACTTCTGGTGTCATAATCCACATCCTGAAGATGAAATTTTCCTCTTTCATATTAGGTGGCACCTGCTGATCATTCTCCAAGTCTATTTCCTGCTTCCAAAATCCAAATTTTCAAAAAGAACTGAAAAGAAAAACACTAAGCAGATTAGAATATTTTATCCAAACTACTAGGACATTTTGAGCTTTGTCTGCTATATGTGAATTTCCACAAGCATCACCAGACAAGGCTAGGGAGGAGGTGCTTTTGTTTAGCATAATTGGTGGGAGAGTGGAAGAAGAATGCATCTGGGCTGGCCATTGGCATGGTAGATGGCCTCCCTAATTTTATTCTTTGTACCATATTTTTTTCTTTTCTGAAGTGAGAAATGCAGACAAGTAGATTTAGAAGATGAACATAATGGCTTTGCTGATACTGCGGATTTATCTTACCCACCCAATCTCAATCCAGAAACCATTTGTAGCAAGAGTATGATAAGGACTGGCAGGGGTGCCTTAAGTTCAGATTTGATGTCACCCCAGCTTATTCAGACAACAAGTCAGTACTGATATAAAATAACACCCAAGTAGATTAAGTTTCCTGCTGAAGAAATATAGTCTTCACAATTTTTGTTCTGGAATTATGAAATGTCACAGAAGAGAAAACCTACTTTAAAAGTTTACAGTTTCTGATGCTGTAAAACTATCTGAATATAAGACTTATGACAAGACTTTGAAGTTTATCTCTCTAGGAAGAAAGTTTCAAAATAAATAGGATGTATGAATGGTAATATTATGAACTTTTATAAAATAAGTATCTATCATTCTTACTTTAATAATTCATATTTTATTAGGTTCAGATAACTACTATGTCACTTAGTCTGTCTCTCTGTTCACTCATGTGTAAAATAAGGAAAATAATTGTAAATTACTTCATAGAATTCTTGTGAGTTAAAGTATGTAAAAACATCACTGTGCCTGGCACCCAGCAAATATTCAAAAAATGTTAGCTAATTAATCTTTGATAGAACCACATACTTGAATGAGGTATGCATTCTGTAGTTTTCTTTCTTGAGTCTTCACATTGAACAGTCATAAGACTTGACTTGTACTTTTGTAGATTAATGAAAATTTACAGGAATGGTAGCTTTTCAAAGTTGCTTCATGAAGTCATCTGTGTCATACCCAGAAGGAGAAAGCTGGACAATTTAATATTATCATGCACATTGGTCTTTTTCAAAACCCAAATAAACATAATTTCTGAAACTTTGTCATTTCTATTATAAGAAATGTATTAGAATTGAATAGGTAGCTGCTATCCAATCAATACGTTAGATAATCTTTAATAGAATATACTCCTAGAACCCTTCGGCACAGTATTAAAAGGAAATATGTTTATTTAGGGTGCTTATTCTGCTATATTTCTTACCAGAAAGCTCAACAAGCCAAACTGCAAATAGCTTCATTGAATAGAGGCGTTATTGTTGTTATTGCCAAACCTCCTTAGCACTGTACAGTAGAATCCAGCTGCAGAAAGTTAGCTGTGACTGAAGCTGATGTCTATGAAGTACATCTAATCCGTCTCATCAAGTTTATAGAGGACTTGAAGTGTAGCCAAGAAAATTAATGAGTGGCATAATTGAGCAAACTCAGCTGTGGAGTGATCATGTTTCCTTCCACAGTATTCCTGTACTTGAGTGTACTGCTTCAAGTATAAATATTTATTAAATGTGTGAATAAATGAATGAGAAGAAGAAAGTAACAAACAGAGAAACAAGATGTGCATTAGCGGTTGCAAAATACTTGAGGTAAAATTCTGTCTGGTTACATAAGAAAAATAATGAGCAGACAGAGTCTTTCAATTTAAGAACTCTTCTTTATTCTAAGGCAGTACACTTCCCAAATTGTTGGCATTGAAGTGTCCTTTTATGAAATGATATTTTTTATGGAGAAATGTTTACATAACACTTTCAAGAGGAAATGTGAAAATAAGTCTTGTTGAGCTCTGAGATTGTTTTTGAAAATTCTTTTTATGCAGGAAATCGAATGTTAGAGTCATGGATTGATTTTAAAGGTGGCTTACATTCTTCCCTTTCAGGTCCTTCAACTGAGACCAAAGATTGGTGTCAGGGGATTGCATAAATCACTCACTGACGTGGCCCTGGAGCATCACGAGGAGTGTGACTGTGTGTGCAGAGGGAACACAGGAGGATAACTACATCACCACCAGCTGTTCGCAGAGCTGTCAGGTGCAGCCAGCGGCTGATTCTGTTAGAGAACTAATGCATTACCTGCATCCATAATCCCAGTTGTTTGCTTCAAGGATCTTCCATCTGCAGGATTTACAGTGGGTTCTAAAGAGGAGACACCAAATGGAATTATGAGTTGTGCAACATCGCTTTTGAGAGGAGCCCAAAGGACAGGAGAAAAGGTCTTCAATCATGGAAAAAAAAATTAAATGTTGTAGATCGCTAGCTAGTTACCACGTTCCTTTTCCACTTGCTGCAGTCTGTATTCCCTATGTCATGATATGGCTTAGGTTAATGTCAGGACAAGAAAAAGCTGCAAGTGAGCACCTGATTCTGTTGCTCTGCTTAACTCTAAAGCTCCGTGTTCTGGGCCTAATATCACAGAAAATCTGGAATGTTTTCCCCTTATACTTGCATATATAAACCAGAACATTTCATGTTCTAAAACTTGGGTTTTAAAGAGGAACTATGTTGCTATGAATTAAACTGGTGTCATGCTGATAGGAAAGACTGGATTTTCCATGTTTCTTATTAAAATCTCTGCCATTTAGAAGAAGAGAACTACATTCATGGTTTGAAAGAGGCAAACCTGAACAGAAGAGTGGCCTTATCTTCACTTTAAGTTGGTTTATTTGTTTTATTGTGTACATTTTTATATTCTCTTTTTTGACATTATAACTGTTGCCTTTTCTAATCTTGTTAAATATATCTATTTTTACCAAAGGTATTTAATATTCTTTTTTATGACAACCTAGATCAACTATTTTTAGCTTGGTAAATTTTTTCTAAACAGAATTGTTATAGCCAGATGAATAAGGATGATATAAAATATTGTTGCTCTGACAAAAAAAAAAAATACATGTATTTCCTTCTTGAATGGTGCTAGAGCTTAGATTGACCTGCATTTAAAAATACAGAAGTATGAAACCAATAGGACTGGGAAGTCACAATGACGTTTTGGAAATAAATTACCATATCTTCCACCCTGTTTATTGGATATGCAAATAAAAAATAACATATGAAAAGTAGATATTCAGCTCCAATTCTTACTAATTTAACCCTGTTTGGGGGGAAATACGAACCTAGCTCAGAAGAACAGAAAGCACCTTGATAAAAGAGACTGACAGCTTCTTGATAAAGTGGGCTGTGGAGTAGGAACACATCCTATTTATTGTGATGCTATGTTTTCAATACCTTTAAACTCTGTTCCATACACTTGTATAAATACCTGGATATTTTTATGTACAGAAGTATATCCTTTAACCAATTCACTTATTGTACCCTTTTGCAATTGAAAAGAAAATCAGTAAAACACTCTGCTTGTAAAATGCTTAATATTATGCCTAGGATATGTGGTGACTATTTGAATTAAAAATGTATTGATTCATCAAATAAAAGAATGTGGCTATTTTGGGGTGAAACTCAGTGTGTGCATGTGTGTGTGTGAAAGTTTTATCTCTTGGACTCTGAGACAATGAAACTTATAAAAGTTTTATGTTACTATGATTTTTGTTATGCAAAAATATATGCCAGTTTCAAAGAAAGGTTATAAAAGGACCTTTTTCGTGCTGAGGCTCCCACCTGACTCTTCTTTCTAGTGCCTTTGAACAGTGCTTTTCTTTTCTCCATGAGCTTAATAATAATGTCTGGTAAATTAAATTAAACCTGACATTAAAGTTATATGTGGTTTTAGAAATACTTAGTGATAGGTTGTGTGATAATATGCGGTGGGGAAAAAGGCCCATAAATCTCTGCTCCTGTCTTCATTTCCAATAGCAGTTACTAAATCAGGTGAGAAGAAGTTGATTTGGTATATGGATTAAAATATTTTACATAGCACACTTCAAGATGCAGTTCCTCAATTCCAGACATAGATTCATCTCAAGGACTAGCATTTTTAGCACCCATCCTCACCTTAGTGATCAGACCCATGCTGTCTACAGACTGCTCTTCTAGGAAGTACCCTTTTTATGCATCTTGACATCATGCAGACCTAGCCTGCCTTCTACCACATGACATACAAATATAAACAAAAGAAGCACATGTGTTCTGTCTTGTTTCCTTAGCCTTTTCATACTTTTGTCCCAGCCACATAGAGGCCACTGTGCTTCACTATTTATAATTCACTAGCTTGGTAAAGACTATGAAGTCTTCCGGTAATTAATGTATTTAGCTGTGTTTAATCCATCATTTTAAACCATTGAATGGGATATCTTATTTCCCTTGTAGTTTTTAATATTTATTTATTTTTATTGTAAAATGTTAATAGTCAAAAGAAATTACCCTGTAAAGGTGACAATTCCACATGCTGTTTTCAGTCAGTGAGCTGGCCAAGTGTGAGGACTAACTGCTTTATGACCAATTTATTCACCGTTCTTCTTGTGTATTTTATTAATATAAAAATAATGCATTAATAGAATATGTGACTCACTTTCTCAGAAGTCCAGAAACTATTGACTGTTTTGACCCTCTTTTGCATATGATATCTGTGGTTTGTCCTTTCACTAAGGTATGAACCAGTTTTGCATAGCGATTTTTATTAAAAGCAAAGAGGAAGGCCTAATTACCATAAGACAGGTTTTCTATCTACACTTTTCATTTCTACCTCTCCTTTCTACCTTTCATCTCTCATCTAGTAATCTTTACATGCACTTTGAAATCATAATAAAAATCAGCACTGGGTTCATTTTGTCCTGAGTGCATTACTGTCTCCAAATGTGTTGACTTAAACTCGTGATTTAGTTTAAGGAAAGGCAGAAAATAAATGTTTTCATTTCATGTAATATCCTTATCTCCAAAAGAATAATGTAATATCCTATCTCTTCTGTAATTTAGTGTATTCAAATGTGTATTGTAGATGCATTAAAAACATAAATATCATTCTTTAGATTCTTAAGGAACAGGAAAACTGAAAATTTAGTAGGTGTCTTAGTTCAGCTGCTAGAAGAAAGTGTCACAGACTGTATGACTTCTAAACAGATTTATTTCTCACTGTACTGGAGGCTGGAAGTTTGAGATCAGAGTGCCAGCATGATCCAGTTTGGGTGGTGGCCATCTTCCTGGCTTGTAGACTGCTGTATGTTATGCCCTCAAGTGGTGAAAAAGAAGGTGAGAGAGCTCTCTGAGGACCCTTTCAAAGGGGCTCAATCCTATTGATGCAGTTTCCACTCTTGCAGCCTAATTATCTCCCAAATGCTTAGGCTCCTCAAACTCATTTTGGGAGTTAGGATTTTGACAATGACTTTTAGGGAAACACAAACATTTAACTCATTGTAACAGGTTAATTCCTTCACATCCTGTCTTCCCTTCATGCTCCCATGTGATCATTGAGTCTCATGGACTTACCTTTTCTGTCTGTCTCATATTTCTGTCTACCTCCACACTTCAGTAGCTGCTGGTCTAATTGAGTCCCTCTTTACATCTTACCCTCTTTGTGCTGCAACAGCTCCTATTTTTCCATCTTGCTGCCCCGGGTCTGTCTCTTCTCTGATCTACCCTCCACACCACTAACAGAAGGGTCCTTCAAACAAATTTGATTATGTAACATGGTGGAAATTTTACAGTGTAACGCCACAAGATTAAATTTTAATCTTTGTAAGGCACACAAAATCCTCCTTAATCTCATTGTTTACCACTTTCTGCTCATTTTGCACCATCAATCCTAACACAGCTCTAGTGAATGCTTGTGGTTTCCTGAACGCCCTCATAGTCCTTCACATTTCTGTGCAAACTTTCTTTTGAGCACTGTTCCCATGCTGACCTATCTCAGTAACTTCCTGTCAATGCCAGTTCAATGACAGTCTCCAGGAAAGTTGCTCCTCCTTCCTTCCATTTATTCTTCCATGCTCCTAGGAATTTTTCCATTATAAATATTGTCATACGGTATTCTAATTAAATACCCTCATTCTGATTTCTCATTGGACTCCTATTCTAATGAACTCTTAGCAATAATTATCTCACTCTTCTTTCCCCAATGCCTAATTAGGGATTGAATCAGATTGGAAGTTAGTAACAATTTGCATCAATAAATAAGGGAAGTAAACATACAAATGAATAAGTGATTTTTTTAAAGACAGCACTGATTATGACATTGGAAACTCTAGAGTTCTTAAGTGTATCTGAAGTTCATTCCGCTTGGCTACTTTTAAGTAGACTGGTGTACTAGTTCTTTTAGGCACCTGTCACAGTGACTAGAACATATAGACAAAAATGTCTATTCTTTAAGATGTAACAGGATAGATTATTTTTTCTCTTTAACAATGTTTTATGACTATATGCTTGACTTTTCAGTTATTGATTTTCCTACCAACCCTAGCTCAGATATAATTTCTTTTAAATTTGATATTTACAAATTCATCTTTTACTCATATTTTAGATACACTATGATTTTTTTTCAGTATGTACAATAATGTTCAAAATGTGAACACATAAATATAACAGTGATTGATGATACAAAATCTCCTTGTAAACCTTTTTTGACTCAGTTCCCATCATCAACCTTAAAATGCAAAGTTGGAGTGAATACTCATTGTTTATGGAAAATATCTATATCCCTCTCCATGGCCATGCTAGCATTTCCTGTGTTCCCATTTTGTAGTGTTGCTCCTGCACTTACCTATCTCAATAACTTCCTCTCTAGTCTGCTGAAAAGTTAACACTGCCTTAGAAAGCATTTGTACACCCACCTCTACCAGATCCAATCTCTTTTATAACAGACAAGTCATTTTTTTTTACTTATCCTGTGAAAAATCTTTACAAAATTTAAAGAAGAGATTTGTAATTTTTATAGGCAGTATATATTTAAAGATGAATAATCTTATTAGTGTTAAAGTTATATATGCAAGTCCTGCTCGCTCTTTTACAGAAATTGACAAGCTGTTCTTAATATTCATACAGAAATGTGAGAAAGTCAAATAACCAAGAAATCTGAAAAAGCAATACAAGGGTAAAGAACTCAAATTCACAATTTTAGAACTTACTGCAAAGACACAGAAATAAGATCAACAGACATACAAATCAATGGCATAGATTTGAGAACCCAGAAATAAACCCTTACATTTGTAGTCAATTGATTTTTTGACAAAACAGTTCAATGGTGAAAGAATCGACTATTTGCACATGGTAGTAGGGCAACTGGCCATCCACATGGAAAAAAAAAATGAATGTGAATTCTTTCCTTACACTATATGCAAAAATTAATTCCAAATTAATCAAGGACCTAAATGTTAGAGATAAGTTATGAAACCTTTAGAAGTACACATGAATTTTTGTGACCTAGAATTGGCTCTCAGATATGATGCCAAAAGCACAAGAGATGAAAGAAAAAAAACAAACAGATAAATAGGGAATCTTGAAAATTAAAAAAAAAACTTGTCTGATTCAAAGGCTCACCCTGTAGCAAAATGAAAGATGACCCATATAATCAGAGGAATATTAGCAAATTATATATCAGAGTAGGGTCTTATATCAGAATATATAAAAATTTTAATCCAATAATAAAAAGACAATTAAAATGAAAATGAGCAAAGTGCTTTTTCTCACACAGACAAAAATATACAGATGGCTTAGAAGCACACAAAATGTTAGCATCATTAGTCATGAGGGAAATGCAAATGGAAATTTACCATTTTATACCCACAGAAATAACTAGAATTAAAATCAAAATTAAATAACTAGAATTTAAAGATAATAATAAATATTATTATATAAAATTTTTATATATAAAAATACATGAGGATGTGCAGAGAGTGGAACCCTATTGTAAAATATTGTGACCACTTTGGAAAGAAGTTATGAAGTTCTTCAAAACATTAAACATGGAATTAAATATGACTAAACAATTCCACTCATAGTTAAAAACCTAAGATAACTGAAAATCTGGCACAAAAATGTCAATGTTCATGACATTTTTCAGAATAACCCAACATTGGAAACTACCCAAATGTCCATCAGCTGATAAATAGATAAGCAGAATGTGGCACATTCAGGCAATGGAACAATATTCATCCATAGAAAAAATTGGAGCACTGATACATACTACTGCATGACTGAACCCTGGAAACATGTCAAGTAGAAGAAGCCATTCACATTTATACGTTTCAGGACAAATAAATCAATCAACACAGAAAATAGACTAATGCTTTCAGAGGCTAGGGGAAGGGAATAAATAAGGAGTACTGTTAAAGATTTCAGGTTTTTCTTTTTTGAAATGACGGAAATATTCTGAAATTGGATAGTGGTGATAGTTTCAAAACTGAATATACTAAAAACCACTGAGATATATACTACTTGAAAAGGGTGACATTTTTAGCATGTGGATTATATCTCAATAAACTTGTTCTTAAAAAATAGCTGAAGGCAGTGGCACACACTTGTAATCCCTCCCAGCTTGGGAGGCTGTGGCAGGAGGATTTCAAGTTCA